TCCTGGCTCAGTGCAACCTTGCAAACTTTCTCCAGCGTTTAGGAGAGACATGTGCTACAAATTTACTTACTCAACACAAGTGACAGTACTGTCTAGACAGCAGAAAATATGAGTCAAAGTCATCATCCCCCTTGCATAAATCTGATTGTTTACTTTGTGCAGTTCACAGCCAACAGCAAATAATTCACAAACTTAAAAGGAAAGCAGTAACTAAATGTTTATGATCTAGGAAATAATTTTCTCTCGTGCCTGATGAAGTCCCTGACCGATAGCTGCTTAATTATCTGGCAAAAAGTTTAATATATTCAATATTAAGAGCGACAAGCTATCCCTACAGAAGACTGGCTCAATATCAACATTTTTTTTCTCCTTTCTGTGAAGGATTTTTTTTGTTGCAATTCAACATCAAACTGACAACCCCAACTTTACGGTGGTTTATTTTAAGGGAGGGGTAAGGTATGAATAATAAACTAAATTTTATCAAAGTGGGCAGAGGGGGAATAGAATGAAGTGTTTGCTGAAAATTGCAGGTAAGGTTGAACCATTAGCATTGGTCCTCACTGGCTCAATCAGTTGCAGATCTACAGGAGCTAGGGATTTGGAGAGGACAGGCAATAGAATTAAATCAAAGGTAAACTGATGGCAAACAAGGCAGTTCAACATTCATTCCCAATAGATTTGCTTCCCGACTGTTAGCCACAACAATTCTGAGCATTACAGTTTAGACTGTTCCAAAATAACATCAGCACTGTACTAACGAACAGATTACTAACATGGTGAATTTGTACACAGATCCCAGAGGTCTTTATCTTACTTATACCAGCCCACAATCACACAAACAAAATCATGGCTGAGGACATGCCAAGCTCCCTACACTCTCATTGTGCCATCCTCTTAACTACTCCAACAGATCCGCAGCATGTAATGTTTGGAAACAGTATTGGTAGAAATTTAAACAGCTTCACCAAATACAGCTCCAAGTTTGAAGGGACAAAGTTTGTACTTGTACAATCAGGTGTTTTCCTTGCTCCAAAGTAGGGCACCAAGAATTAATTGTTTTAAAAAATAGAGGTGCTATTTTCTTTCCCTCAAAAAGGCTACACTCGAAACTCAAAACCAGTTGACATTGTTTGATTGAAAAAGAACAGATATAGTATCTGATTTGTAAACATGCACCTTCCTTGTTGGGACAACCAGGATGAGTCATGGACTGGGCTGTGCACCCATAATTGTACAGCTCAGAGGGAGGCCATTCAGCCCACTTTATCACCACTGGCTCATTGAGAAATCTATCCTGACTAATCCCACTCTCCTGCTTTACCCCACAGCCCTGGAAAATTTTCCACATCGACCATTTCTAAACATTTGCTGCTTGTCAATGTTGGGCATTGAACATAAGAAGGAAACTGAGACATTGGGATAAATGAAATCAAGAAAACAGAAAATGCAAACAAATCTGCCATTTATTCTCCACTAATCAACTGCATCTCGACTGGTCGTTCACTACAGTTTGGAAAGGAGAACAAAAGAAAATAGAATAATGCAAAATCTGCAGTATCATGGAACAGATATAGTTTTGATGACTCTATAACCTTTTCTCGGTAACTGGACAACTTGTGACATGTTTGTACCCTTTCGATTTGACATCTTAACAAAGTGCAGCAAGATAAAGGCATCTCAGGGCTGCAGTATGACCATCTTAATGTATCATCACAGCCAGAGGAAAATGACTCCCTAGACTCTCTTAGAAACTGAAACTCAGATCAAGAAAGGTCTTTTTTTTTAAACCAATACCCTAAGCATACCTCACTGGAACACAGTCTGTTCTCATCAGCTTCCATTAGGGTTTAAAAGAAGGTAATAATTTTTTGAAAGGGATTTAAATTTTTGCTGAATTTTCTCTCACGCAATGCATCTTGAAACCTTACAGTGTGATACAACAGCTCATAATGGTGGAGACTTGAAGTGGTTTGCTAAGTTAAAAGAAAGCCACAGAATCTCAAAACCATTCGAATCCATAACTTAAAAGAGAGACTATATCTTTACTCATTTCTTTTCCCTGTGATTTTGCAAAGGGAACTGCACCAACAAATCAATTACACTCTACACACTATATCCAAACTCACTCTCCTCTGGAAGTCTATCACCATTATTGCATTATCCTGTATTCTTTGACTATTTTCATCTTTTAACTTTGAATATGTTCAAAACTTTAACAGGAAGGGTTTGCACCCAAATTTATGTTCTCCATTGCAACATTGAACCTTTTCTGTCACAATCCATTGAACGACTCTTTCTGTTTCTCTCAGGTCACTATCATGCAAAATAAAGGAAAGTCTATTGCACAAATGTTACAAATCTCTAACAACAGCCGAGCCTCTGCAGCAACCACTGAATACGGACATCAGATTTCAAACGGAGCACCCTAGTAATAGCAAATGCTCCCTTCCACTATGAAACAGATAAACAGGTATATGGAGGGATAAAGTACCCCACATCTATTGTAGCTCATAGTGTGCGCGAGAACGTGAAACTTGGTCCAATCATTAAACCAGTGCCTGTCTTGATCTAGTTTTACATTGCAGTAGAACAGCCACACATATTTTCTGAAAACAAAAAGCAAGAAAACTTCCTTTTTCTATAACTGAAGACAAGCAGCTCGGACATTTTCACTGCATTGCTAAATTTTTTTTTTTAAACAATTTTGCCTCTGCAAAAAATAGGTAAATTTCAACAACTGCAGCAAATGGACAGTAGTCTAAGGACTTTCAAACTTCATTGCTATGCGTTTATTTTCAAAAAGACACTTTATATTGCCCTTGTAGACTTTCAGCATGGAGTTAGCCCACTTTATTGACACATCCATTACAATGACTAATATTCTATATGTGTACACTAGGAGCTCATCCCACACTTTGCGTTACCTCCATTTTTGTCTAACACATCTGCTGTGTTTTCACTTTCTCAGGTGACAGATGACCACAAGTCGCGGCTCCTGCTCTGTTGGAAAGCATATTTTTTAAAAATCGTCAGAGTGTGGAGTTCCACACCTCCCCTCCTGGAGAGGGGGTTACTGACGCTTTAAAGTTCATAACAGTCTGCAGCTGAGTAAGTTCAGCAGCTGCTTTTATAGAAACGAGAAAGGGCTCTGCAGCACAAAAAATGTGTTTTATTATTTAGAATTGCCAGCACTTGGTGCTCCCCAGTCCCCTGCTCCCACTAGTCCAAAAGACAAGCATGGATCAGCAACAATTCACACTTCACCCCTGATACACGCAGTACTTTGGAGTAAAATTCACTCTTGCGTCCCCACTATTTGGGATGACTGGCAACCCCAAACAGGGTTAATTTTAAAAAGTTGAATGTGCTAGGACACAATTACACCTAACTAGTGCAAACAGAGAAAAATATTCACACTATAGGACGTTCGCCCCCCCATCTTCCACTCTTCTTCAGAAATACACTACAAGGCAGGAGAGGGTGCATGTGCAGATTAAAATACAATTCAAAAATGAGGTTAGGAAAATGAGTTGGATTCAACTGCTGTAACAGACAGAGAGCCGAACCCCTCTCCCACAATTAGCAACAACCTAGGAACGGCAATTTATTCAGATGTGCCTCAAAGGCTGATACACACATACAAACAATGCACACAAGACGTGTTCTACTGCACTCGTTTTAAAAGCCGGTGTTCAACTTTTCAAAAATCCATCTGCCACGTTTCAATTAGAATAACAACACATGGTACAAAACACACATACACACACAAATTGACACCCTCAGAACACTGCCCCTAAATAGCAACAAACAACTTGTCAAGAGTAGACTGTAAACATGGCTGCCTGCACCAACAACCATCTGTGTTTTAAAAATATATCTTTTTCAAACTATGATAACTGCATTTCCGTTTGACATTGTTTACAAAATAATGCAATAACGCACCCTCCTCCAACAGACAAGCAACACAGCTTCCCTTATCCCTGTTGTTTGACCTAACATGCTTGTTTTCTTTTGGTATGTATGTTCTGATACATTCTGTCTTTTCTATATTAATGTTATATTTAGTTAAGTATGGATGCATTCTCTGGAGCAGTATGCAAATTCTTCACGAAGAAAAAAAATCAGGGATTGTGCACCTACATCACAGACTTACAGCAACTTTCTTTTTTGTGCCAAACTTAGCAAGTTTAAAGTACCATATGCTACACAAAGTATTAAGTAAATGACAAACTTTCCGACTTAAATTGAGTTTCAATCTTTCCTTCACATTATTTGCACTTTTATTTTGATCTGCTGTTGAATAATGGAGATTGCAGTGACGGGAAAATAGAATAAATGAGGTTTGCTTTTGAAGGTTGAGGAATTAAGGAAAGAAACTAGGGGAAGTGTCTTTCTAACGTGCAGTTAGAAATATGCAATATATAATTTATAACATTTTTGACATCAATCACTGAACATTTTTGATAAAAAGAAATCTTAAATTAACAAGACACACGAAGTTAGCTTCAAAGTTACTGCTCTTAGAACGAAGAGGGTTTTCAGAAAATTGCACAAAAGGGTACTCCAAAAATGAAAGCCTAACTGATTGTCAATTTTTACAAAAAGGGTGCTTATTTTCTTTTCAGATGCCAAAATATGATTTAATTTTGAAATTTTAATTCAAATGGATTTTAAAACAAGTGATAAAAGGTTTCACTATTGTAATATTAGTAGTCAGAATATACATGGCCCCATTTATTGCAAATTAATATTTCACTATTGCAATATTACCACCAACATATATGGTGCCACTTATTGCAAACTAGACACAGGTTTATTTCAAACCTATTGGGAACTTAGGCAGGCAATAAATAGTCAAAACAATCCAACGTCTTAAGGGATATCTGCACAGTTATGCCGTCCTCACATGGGACGAGAGAAGGAGATGGCAAACACACTCAACAAGACAGAAGCAGAGTCAACAAACATTTAGAAAGAAGTGATTCAATATAATGGCTAACCTCTGCTTTTTAGGGACAGAGTAGTCAACTTCGATCACCTTGCCATGAAGTTCCACTTTGCCTAAAGTTGAAAATGAAAGAAATAAAAATTAGTATAAATTGAATTTTATTTGAAAGAAGGGGTAAGTTAGATGGTGAGGCAGTGAGTTCCACATGTGGGGAGCCTCAATGTAACAGCCGAATGTTGCCAATCCCACTGTAACAAGTTACTGCTCCCCTCCCCCCTCAAACCAGGCAGGCACCTTCTGCTCCTGAACTAAATATGGTAGGGGTTGGGGGTAAACATTAAAACAATCAAAGTAAAACATCCCTCCCTTTATCCATCCAGATTTTTTTTTAAAATTCCCCCTCCATCTGAAGGGGCTTGAAAGTGAAAGCAGTCCAAGGAGGGAGGCATTTGTGGAACTGCAACTGGCCTGTTGAAAAAGGGAGAGGGTGCAAATGGGGGGGAGAACAAAAAGACACAAGAGGAAGAAGAAACCCATATGCCAAACAGAAGAAAGAAAGAGAGAAGGGGGGAGGGGAATGGAGGAGAGAAGAGAGAAAATGAAAAGAGAGAGATCTGACTACTCTTGATTAACAAAATGAAGGACGGGGGCGCCATGCTCTTGAGAGCAGCCCGCTTTTCTGAATTGAAATATTATTAAAATAAAAAGGTTGTTTTATTGTGGAAGTGGTGGTTTGGGGTGGGGTGGTGAAGGAGGGGTTGGGGAAGAGAGGGATGGGAGTCTCAATATACCAGAGTGTGTCATAGAGAGAGAGAGAGCCCCCCCGTCCTTCTTTTCCCCCTGGGGTAAAGGGGATGGGGTCTCTCAACCCCCCCCCCTCACCTGGGGTGAGGGGTATTCAGGATGAGGGTTCCCTCCACTCTTCCTTTCCAGCTCCCCCCTCCTCACAGTCTCTCTCTCTCTCTCACACACACACACACACATTCTCTCTCTCTGCTCCCCCTCTCCTCCTTCCCTCTGTTCTCACTCCGGACCCCGGGCACCCCCGGCCGGGACACCTCGTAAAAAGCGGGCTGCCCCCCCGGGGAGGGGGACCCGGGTGTCCCCTGGGGCTCAGCCCCGCCCGGCTCCCATCAATAAAATCAGAGGAAAAAATCTAGGAAAAATACCCCGCGGACACCCAGAGAGAGCGAGAGCGAGAGAGCGAGAGAAAGAAAGGGACGGGGGGTTGGGCTGGGCTCTCCCTCTGTCTGTGTGAGAGAGAGAGAGCATGGGGGCTAATAATCCAACTCAAATACCCCCTCTCAGACACCAGTCCCTCCAAACACACCCTAACAAACACAGGGAGGGTGAGAGAGGGACAGGGGGTTGGGATGGGCTCTTCCTGTGTATGTGCTTACAGGGGGCAATAAATCACTTCAAATACCCCTCCTCAGATCCTCTCCCCCCTCCTCCTCAGGCCCTCCGCCACACACACACACCTTCACAAACACTCAGACAGACAGGGAGAAAGACAGAGAGAGAAGGGGGCTGTGCTGGGCTGTCCCTGTTATGTGCATATGTTGGGTGCAGGAGTTAGAAAAAACTAAATCATATACCCCTCCTCAGACCCCAAAACCCCCACCCCTCCTCACTCTCACCCCTTCTCCCTTCCCTCACAAACACAGAGAGACAGATGGAGGAAGAGAGAGAAATCAGAGAGAGGGGGAGGAAGAGAGAAAAACAAGGAAGGGGCAATAGACCATCTCAAATACCACTCCCTTACTTGCTCAAATACCTAAACAGTGAGAGACCAGAAGCAGAGAGACAGGGACAGAAAGGATGACTGTCCCTCTGTGGATAGAAGTGACAGACTTCCTCAAATACCCCTCCCCTCACTCAATCAACAAGTAAACTAACTCATGTCTCATCTCTCTCTCTCTCTGTGTTTTTACATTTAGCAGGGAGAGGGGTGCATAATAGATCACCTCAAATATCCCCCTCCCCTCACACCAACCTTCACTCTACAACATCCCCTTTTCCTCACTGTACCCCAACAGGGAAACTTAACTCCTCATCCTCTCTCTCTCTTTGTCTGTTGTGATATGTGCAGAAGTGGGGAATGAAGGGTAAATCACCTCAAATGCCCCCGTCCCCTCACACCAACTTTTACTCCAAAACATTCTCTTCCCTCACTCCCCAACGAGGGGTCTCCCTCTGAATCGGAGCAGCTGCCTTTATTTTTTTGATGTCTGTGGAAGTTGCATGTTGAGTTCTCTTCCACCTTTGAGGGTCCGAAAGTGTTGAGCATAAAGACGCCGGGGGGAGGGGGTTGGTTGGGGAAGAGAGAAAGGAGCAGGGAAACTTCAATCCTGTGTCCCAAGGATCCAGGCAGCCAGAAAAAGAAATAACAGGAAGGCAAACGTTGGGCAGCTGACCTGCTGGATATCCATCGGTGGCTGCTTCTGCACACCTTAGCCCACTTTTAGGGGGAGGTCGGGAGAACTCCAGAGGCAACGATCCAGCCCTCCCCTTCTCTCTGTCTATCTGCTCTCCCTTCAGTTGCACGGGAAGATCCCACAGCACTCACCGGACAAGGTCTCGATGACTCTGATCGCCGCGTTCTCGTCGGGGCAATCCACGAAGCCATAGCCGGATTTGAGGAGGACTTGCCCGATGCAGAGCTCCCTCTGCTCGCAGAGTTGCTGGAGGTCGGCGGCGGTGACACTGGAACTCAGATTGCCAATGTACAACTTGTTCATGATCTCTCTAAACCAACCCCCCCCCACCTCCCCCCCCCCCCCTCCCACCCGCCCTTGCCTCTCCCTCTCCCCCTCCCTCCCACACAGAGCCGAAAATACAACAACCAGAGATGCGTGCTGAGAGAGAGATTAGTGCTCCACACTCCCCCCGCCCTCCCCTCTCCCCTGTCTCTGCCTATTTCACAGAAACACACACCAAGTCTGCCTGCAAACAACTCAACTGCTCCCGCACCGAGAGACAAAAGCTAGCGAGTCCCGACTCAAAGTGTCGCTTACGACGCTCCTTTGCTTTAAGCACCGCCTCTAAATAAATCAGACTTAAAAATATCAGAGAAAAAAAATTGGAGCCCACGTGGTGCTTTGCAAAGATACCAGGAGGATGGAAATCACACATACACACACACAGAGAGAGTGGGTCTCTGTGTGATTGTGTGTGTCTCTGTGTTTGCATGTGGTCTCTATGTGTCTGTGTATGTCTCTGTGATCTCCCTATATGTGTCTCTGTGTCGACCTGTGGTCTCTATGCGTGTGTCTGAGTGTCTCTGTGTCTGCCTGTGATCTCTATGTGCGTCTATGTTTGCCTGTGGCCTCTATGCGTGTGTCTTTGTGACTGCCTGTGATCTCATGTGTATGTGTGTGTGTCTGTCTCTCTGCCTGTAATCTCTCTGTGTCTCTGCCTGGCTGTGATCTCTCAGTGACTATCTGTGATCTCTATGTGTGTGTCTGTGACTGTCTGTGATCTCTGTGTGTGTATGTCTGTTTGCCTGGGATCTCTGACAAACCACCTAGAAACCGATATTCATTTCAAGCCCACCGACTCCCACAGCTACCTAGAATACTCCTCCTCCCACCCACCTTCCTGCAAAAATGCTATCCCCCTATTCCCAATTCCTTCGCCTCCGCCGCATCTGCTCCCAGGATGAGGCATTCCACTCCCGTACATCTCAGTTGTCCTCATTTTTCAAGGACCGTAACTTCCCCTCCTCGGTGGTCGAGAACGCCCTCAACCGTGTCTCCCACATCTCCCGCACCTCATCCCTCACACCCCGTCCACGCAATAAGAACCAAAAAAGAATCCCCCTCGTCCTCACGTACCACCCCACCAACCTCCGGATCCAACGCATCATCCTCCGACACTTCCGCCATCTGCAATCCGACCCCACCACCAAAGACATCTTTCCCTCCCCACCCTTATCTGCTTTCTGGAGGGACAACTCTCTCCGTGACTCCCTTGTCCGCTCCACACTCCCCTCCAGCTCCACCACACCCGGCACTTTTCCCTGCAACCGCAGGAAGTGCTACACCTGCCCCCATACCTCCTCCCTCACCCCCATCCCAGGCCCCAAGAAGACTTTCCACATCAAGCAGATGTTCACCTGCACATCTGCCAATGTGGTATACTGCATCCGCTGTACCCGGTGTGGCTTCCTCTACATCGGGGAAACCAAGCGGAG